TTATGCATGTTTGCTACCGGTGCCGTAATGCTTGCGTTAAGCTTGCTAACGCCAGCATTGTTGGGCTCATTCAAGAGTAAACGTTTAGCAGCGTTTATGAGCGAAGACAGTACACCAAATGAACCACCGATACGTCTTTACCCCTCAATTTCCGGCAAAAATGAAATAATTCGCCATCCGAACAATAGCGCCAATGACAAACACGACAAAATTACGCCTGACTCGTACGTTCTTTCTAAAACTTTTATGCTTTTCTTCAAAATTTTCTTTCTTTTCTTCTTTTATGCTTTATATTTCTTTCAAATTTTATGCCAGTTTTTTGACCAATTTTATATTTTCTATTGAATTTCGAAAAATCTGAAGCAATAAATAAACCTTAGGAAATAAAGGAAAACAAAGAAAAAATGTTATAAAAGTATAAAATTCAATTAATATTGTTAGTAGAAAAGAAAAAATGTGAAGTAAAGTAAAATTACTAATTATACTTTATGCTAACTTTATTTTTCGATTCCAATAATTTTTAAAGGAAAACTTATCCGTTCAACAAATTTTAAAAATTTCAGAGGTCCAGTACCAGTACTGAAAGAAATTGCAAAAGTACAACCCGCTGACAATAAAATTGATGGTAACAGTAATGGTAATGATGACAGTCATCAAAAACAGACTAATGCAGATGATCTTTTATTGGGTGGTGAAGATAATATACAACAGTGATTTTTCTCCTCTTAAACTCTCTCAAATTTCTTGAAAGTAAAAAGATAAATGTATTATTTTTTTTTCCCGGAAGATATAATCACACTATATCATATGCATGATTTTAGTACAGTATGAAGCTAATCATGAACAATAATCCTGTAATTTTTGCGCACAAAATAAATATTCTTAGCTTTCCTCCCTTTTAATCACATCTGGGGAAATTGTTAGCTATTCGAAAAATGATAACTGGAAAAGGGAACGAATGCAAAATAATGGAATTAAAAATGATTAAGAAAAGCATATTTTTCTTAATGCTAGAAAAAAAATCAATTTGTAATGATGACAAAGCTGAAATTCATTTGGATGTCCTTAAATTGTAAGTGCAAATTTTAAAGTTAAAATCTTTCAATTCTGCATCTTATTGAATCATGAATTCGTCCGCTAAAGCATACTTATGTTACATGAAGCAAAACATCTGGCTTCATTAAAGCAAATTTGTAAAAAAGAAAAAAAGAAATGAAAAAAGCGACTACTGTAATTTGTAAAATTGCATATAGATTAATCATATTTAAAACATCCAGCGATATATTTAACCATGTGTACTATAATTTAATGATTTAGATTATTTGTAGTCTGAAAATTTCGAAATGAAATTTTAATTGAGCAATTAGAAGCCATTTCACTTATTAAAAGTTAAAAGCTAATTTTTTTCTTCAAAATTTCATCTAAAGATAGCATTTTTATGCGAAACATTTTTGTATATAAAAAAATATTAATTTAAACGAAATATTGAAATATTCGAAAATCGTTTTCGTTATCTTTCTAAAAATCTTTTACTGACGAAAGTATTCAATCCTATTTTATATCGGTTGGTAATAGTAGGTTAACAATTTGTTTCGATTAACTAATTTATTTTATAGTTATTTGATTAAACAGTGGGCAACATCAAATAAAAATTACCAATCAATTGATTAATCTTTAAAATAAAAACCCAAATTCAAATATTCCTAATATTCGACGGCCAAGTTTCATCAGTTATTTGCTCCTCAAATTTTGAATATTTCTTGTGTTTGCATCAAGAACGCGTGATTCTTCATTTTATTTTCAAAAAAACAATCGAAAAAAAATATAATTAAACTCCACAATTATAAATTTGTATTACGTGTTAGGTCATCTATGATTTAGAAAAAAATAAGTGAAAACATTTATTAAGCAGAATTCATCAGTGGTCAGTGACAACGATAATGATGATGATAATAATCATCATTGACAAAAACAAACATCAACGCTATGAATTCTAATTTAAAGAAAAATTAAGCGTAGAAAGACATTTTTTGAATAGAAAAAAAAATGGAAGAGCATATGTTTAACAACCGTATAACATTAATTTTCCTCTGTGAAAGTAATTTTGCATAACATATGTACTTTTTTCATTTTTTTTTTTTTGTAATATATGAACGATGATAATAAAAGAATTTTGCGACGTTTTATAAATTCCCTAAAAATTGTTTTATTTGTGAAATCTAAAATTTTCTTAACAAGCTGAGTTCAAATAGATGACATTACACATACCCGGACAAGAAAAAAACTGTGAAAAATGATGAGATAAGCTTTACAAATTATATGATAAAAATGCACTTCTTCTTCAATAACACTGTGAGCAAGTTAAACAATTACAATAAATAATTTAACAAAAAAAGAAAGAAAACAAATATTTAAGTCAACATATGTACTTGTACTAAAAAAGTCTATTTCGAAGGATTTGAAATGAAAAAAGTTCAAATTAAATAGCCTTTTGAACTTTATACCATTGCCGTAAACACTGAAATTCATTTTATCTGAGACCTTAACAACACGATGACTACATATTTCAATTAATTAATTAATTAATTAAAGCAGAAGAATAAAACATTTTAAAGCCGTGCATAGTAGGAATAAAAATATATAAAAAAAATAAAAAAAGTGTTTTGTAGGAGAGGATTTGTATGAAAACCTGGCAAATGCATGACAATTCTTACCCAAGCTTTTCAAACTAAGATATCCATATGTATATATTTATACATAATGTGAGGTCAAAATTTACGATGTTTGGTGAGATGACATAAATAAAGATTCTTATAGTGGCATTTTTTCTTATTTTAGAATATTTCAATGTCATGAATGATAAAGTAAACAAAGCAGGGCAATAGTCTTCCATTCAGTTTCAATTTGGCCGGAAACATATTTTTGAATAGGAAAATTGAAGTCATTCCTGATAATATTTAACCCTCAAATGCATCTGCACTTACATAACTGCAATAAACAACCAAAATCAGTTATTGAATACGGCATGATTCATCTTCTTTTAGCTCATCCGCGATTTTTTTCTGATAATATTCCACGAAACTTTCACGTAATGAATTTAAATCTTTCTCAATTCGTTCCAAATCTTCCGTAATTTTCTTGATATGTCGTTCAGCACAACCTGACGACATTATACTTGCATCATTCATTACCGGTTCTGATTCCGATTCTGACATCGAATCACCTGTAAATGAAAAAAAAAGGAAGAAGCAATATGATTTATACATCATAAAATAAAATATTTTAGAAATTATCAAACACATCATGGAATAAAATGTAATAGAGTCTTCATCAATAAAATGATTTTCATCTTCATTTTTTACAAAATATTTTCTTAATTTAAGTTCTTTTTTTTTATGTTATTTTTAATGCCTTACTTTGCTTAATATAATACATATCAACGATAATACATTTTTTGCATATATCTAATAATATTTAAGCAATTAATTGGACAGCATTAATTTACTGCATAATTATGTACGAAAGTATATGTACGACAAAGCATACGTACGAAAAAAATTATGTACGAAAACTGCTGAAAAATTCATCATCACAGTACCCACGTAGTTAATTTACTATTGTGTAACTATCACACATAACTTACTTCGACATCCTAACAAACGATTGACACTCGGTGCATCACCGGTAATTGCTTTTGCAGCTACGTCTTTTAAACATTTAGCAAGTAATCGACATTCCAAAGTTTTATTTAGCTGCATTCGGATTAATTTCGATGTTGATGCAGAAAGTTGCAACTTATCATCAGTGTCCAAATCAGATAATATTACAGATGACGATTTCGCGACTCTTTTTGATGATTCTAAGTTCTCCACCGCTGCTGCTACTGATGATGATGAAAATGAGAACCGATCGCCTTTCTGTAATGAAAACAACACCGAAAATTAACCAATGTCAAAAAAAAATTAGAGACTTGCAAAAGTTTATGAATAACTTGCATCCATTTAAAAATTATGTTGCTTAATTTCAAAATCAAGCAGTAGATTCCCAAAATAAAAGTTGAAAATATCCAGTGAACTAATCCACAATACTAAAGTAATAATAACTAAAAATAATAATGATTAACAGGATTAACAGCAGTAATGATTTAATAAGAATGATGATAAATGATGATAATGATAGTGATAACGATAATAATAAATAACAGTAATGTTAATAATAACAGTAATTCTTTTCGGCCCATCCATCTACTATTAGTTTTCATTTTCCCTTCTCCTTCTGATTCGAGAGTCCGTTAGAAAGTTAGAACCTTCTCACTGATTCTCAAATCTTAAAACAAGTACGAACAACATTCTATCGGAACATTTTCAAAACATCTGATTGTTAAGATACAATATAAACCGACGACTTATCATCATGACGATTATAAATTTAATAATATTTTCATTTTTTTGATTCCAAAAAATCTCAATTAAATTACTTATTTTACTTCAACTATCAAACACCAAAATTTTTTGAGTTTCTATTTTTTCTTTTTTTTTTTGCAAACGATTTTGACACATTCTTGCAGATATGTTTAAAAAAAAAGTTTTCCACATTTTAAAATACAGCAAGGACGCACTGAAATTTAATTTTGCCTTAAAATCTTCAAATATGCAACTTTTTCATTAAATCATTAGTCTATATTGTAGATAAGATCTTAGAAAAATATTATTTCCCCACCTTTGATTCTTTTGAATTATTGGCAAATTTCGTGGGTTCGACATCGAATAACGAGAAAGCATCCGCTTTGGGTGTCACTGAACCACTTTCCATTTTACGAGACATATCCATTTTCATTGTCTATAACAGTACTGATAAATCTCATCAAACCTGGTTTTAAATTTGAAGATAAAAATTAAATTTTCACTTTTTTGTGATATATTTTCTCATAAATGCTATCTGTCATAAATTTTCATCATTTTATTGATTTTTCTAACTCTTTCAGTGTCCTTTACCTTTTTTTGAAATTCTCTAAAGTTTATAAAGAAATTCAAAAATTTTAAGAATTTTCAAAAGGAAAATCAAAATAATTACACATGCCACGGAAGGAAAATGATAAGACTAAGCCAATTTTTGCATATTATCCATATTATCGAAGGAAAATTTCTACTATTGAAAATAAATTTATCGGGATCTTCACAGAGAAAAAGAAAAATCCAAAAAATAAAATTATTTTTAAGCTGTCTAATATTATGTATGATTCTTTTTATTTTTTATCAGCTGCATACAAAAAAAATGTAAAAAAAAGAAAAACTGACGTGAATATTATCTTGGAGATCTCGAATGATAGATTCCTTGGAATCAAGTTTTGCATTCAATGCTTCATTCTGTAATTCCAAAAATTCATACTCGTTTTTTACTCGCTCCAAATTTTTTACCATTTGCACATGTCGTTCCAAATCATTCCTCAACATCGCAATTTCTCGCTCCTAAAATGAAATTATCATAATTGAATATACCATTTCATTTGCTCGTTCATTTTTTCCAATAAGTACATATCAAATATTATATGGGAATTATCTTGGAAATTTTCATCAGATTCACTCAGTACTTGTTAATTTTTTTGTGCACAACTTTTTAATGAAAACAGATAGAATACCTGGGCAGTGATCTTTTCTAAGGATGATGCAACAGCACTATTACGATTAGCATCAACAGCCATTGCTTTTTCACGATATGCAACACATTCCTTTTCCAAGACACTTAATCGAGCTTTCACTTTCGTCAATTGCAATTTGGCTTCCTCAGATTCACGACGAAATGCATTCACCTGAAGCAATAAAAATACACCGTAATTTCGACCATTTTATTCTAATTTCAGTAATAAAATCGAATTAGTTGAGGAGAAACAAGTTACAATTTATAAGAGAAGATATAAAAGATGATAAACATTTACGAAGCTGCGCAAGAAGAAATATAAAAACAAATTACCGGATCAAAGATCACAGCATGACGAATAAACTCGACGAATAAAAAAACAAGCAAGCAAGCAAACAAACAAAGAAGCAATATTTACTAATTCTGGAAAAGAATACAAACAGCTAAAAACGAACTTCCTCGTCATATTGTACTTGACGTAATTCCATTCGTGAATAACATTTGCGTAATTGTGATTGCAACCTTAAATAAATCCTACTGGATTGATAAATGAATTCGAACGGAAAATAATAAAAAGAATTTAAAATACACACGTTAATGGAAATTTAAATAGAAAATTTTAATTTAAAGAAAACATGCATTGTACATTAAAAAAGAATAAATGTTTTCATAAAAGTTTTCACTTTCATCATCATACCTTTCCACTTCAATTTCTTTATCGACAACTTCCTGAGCCATAAGTTGTTGAGTTACTGGCGTTGTTGCAGCCGAAACTATAAACTGACCGGAAGCAGAACGAAGAATACGTGATGTATCTGTAAGGAAATCAATTGGATTTATTTTTATAAGGATCAAATCGCTAAAAAAAGAAACAAGAGCTAATCAAGAATGATTCGAAAATAACAGTAACCTTGAGCCATTATCCATCTATTTTCATTCAAATATGGATGAAAAAAATCAAATCATTAAACTATTACTAAATTAAATATTAACATGCACAGATTAAAATATAATTAAACTAGCAAAATTACAGACTTCAATGGAATTTAAACACTGGTACTTAAAAAGAACCTACTTTTGGAACCTGTGACAGGAATGATAAAGGAAGTAGAAGCTAAGGATGTTGATGGTGCTTGACCTGGAATGACTGCAGCTTCTAATTCTCGTACACGTTGCTCCAAGACTGCCACCCGCATATCGTTATTATTTTTTGTACGACGATCTTCAACTAAATATCACAACATAATAATTTGAAAAAACGAAACAGCTGAACTGCTATATTAGATAGAAAATCTAATATACTGTAGTAAATAGATGTGAACAGAAGAAAGTATTACATGATGCAACACAGCAAAATATATGGAAACAAAATTGAGGATAAATTTCCATAAACTTATCGTAATATGAAACAGGGGATGTACTTGGGAACAGTAATGAAATAATTTAAAACGAAAAGAAACTAATTCTGAGTAATTTCATTTAAATATATTTGAAACATTTACCAATTATTTGCTGATCATTTGATGGGCTATCACGATCTCGGAATCGCCAATTATCAGCATATGATGAGATATGATATGCGGGTACCAACGCACTCATACTTTGTCGTCGCTGTTGGCTAAAATAAATAAAATTTAATGGCATTTCAAAACTATAAATCGTAGATTTATTGACAAGAGAAGTGGAAACAGTAAAAACATTCGAATTTACATTGAAAAAAAATATTAATTTTTTCAATTTTTTCCAAACTGATGGACAAAGATTACGTGTTTGAACTTTTATGACTGGAATCATTGCGTTCTCGATCATGCGAATTTTGCGGCTGTGGCGCTACCATCATCTAAAATACAAGCAGTATTCATTTATTAAATAATCATGTCTAAAATTGTTCAGTATTATTTGGAGCAAGCGTATTTTTAAATGATGAAAAATTTGGTTACATCACAAAATTATTTACTTAGAAAGCCATGTACATCATAAATCATAAGCTCAAATATTAGGTCAGATATAAAATAGCAGCAAAAGTATGTCGCAATTTTTAAACACAAATACAAATTATTCACTTAGAAAGCTCATATTCTCTCAGCCAATTTTATCTGTGAAGCAAAGGAGAAAAACAAGTAGAAAAAAGAAAAATAATTAGATGCAAAATTTTATCGATATTAATATGACACATAATGCAATAATTTGTATTGATTAATAAATTCATTTTTGTGATGATAAAAGTTTAAAATTGGCCACAGATTGAAAAGATCAATATTTTGCTTATATAGTTTGATATAAATATGTATACGCGATGATAAGAGCCGAAATTTACACACCTCTATTAAAGA